TATATATATATATATATATAAAATAATATAAAATATGTATATTATATATTTCCAACTCTGATGTGGTTTCACAGCTGATATTAAAGCGATAAATACATGAAAACGTGATGATAATTTTGTCAATTTACAGTATTGTGGGCACGTATTGTAAATGATTTCAGTTTGGAGTCCTGTGCCAATTTGTAGCCAGAGATCCAACTTCCAAATCAGCACAAATCTTTTTTTTTTTTTAAAGCCATTCTGTTATGTTGCTGGCCATTTTACATTTTTGACCATTTTATGTCAGAAAATGGTTTGCTTATAATACAGCCATTTATTTTATTTTTTTGGCTTGATTTTATTTATTTATTTATTTATTTTCTTTTTTTTTTTTTATTAAACTTTATATTCCATAGAGCACATCAAATATACCACTACAAAAATCTTACATTTTGATTCTGTTTGGACATTTTTTGTCTTAGTAAATAACAAGAGCCAAACCTCTATGTTAATAGAGGATGACTGCATGAAGCAAATTACTGCATGATTCCTTATATTTAAGTTACATTAACGGTAATAAAGAGTCTGTTTTCTTACCGTTTGATCTTATTAAGCATCACTTTTAGAAACAAAACGAGGGTCCTGTGTCCAGTTTGGACTCCTCTGTGTTTGTAGTGGATGTGTTTTGTAGGTGAATGCTGCCAATGATCCGTATCTTCGTGTTCAGCTCCTTTGAGGCTTGAGTCATGGCTTCACACAGTCTTGTGAATCTGGGGAGCTCTTCCCTCTCCTAACCTCCTCTTCAACCACTTGTTTACACTCTGTTGTCTCTCTCGGATCTCCCTCCCCTATACCCCCCCCCTCCCTCTTATCATCATGCCCTCTCATGCCCTGCTCGTAACCTGACCAATCAAAGGACGGATGAGGAGGATGGCGAAGACGAGTCGGGCGCCTCACGTGGCGGTGCGCACGATAACCTGTACCGCGTTCACATGCCCAGTCTCTACAGCTGTGGCTCCAGCTATGGTAGCGAAGCTAGCCTGCCAGCTACAGCCCACACTGTCAGCAATGCCCCCGTCACTGAATACATGTGAGTTAGCACCCACCGCTGGCTCGAGGCTGGCAGAATCACTGTGCCACAGGTAGCTAATGCTTTCCCCCTGTGACCCAGACTAGAGGCATATTTCTATTCACTTATAATCAAATACTATAAGAATAGTTAGTCATTGTTGATAGCTCCTATGTCCAGTGTGATTAGCCTTTCAGCAATATTCATCACACAACAAAAACCTTGTTAAATTTTCCTTTGATAGACTACTAATAAAAATTAGCTATTTATTGTTATAGCCAGCCTGCCTATTTATTCTAACAATATTTTCTTAAGTGTAAAGAACACCAAATGTTTTCACTCAAAGAATTGAACATGTTACCATGGGACTGAATTACTCGCTCAAAGTACAGTAGTCCCTCGCTACTTCGAGGTTTGTTTATCGCGGACTCGCTCTCTCGCTGTTTTTTAAAATAAAATTGGACATGACACACAACTGGCTGTTTGATGGATGAGCCGCACGATCAGCTTGGAATTTTTTTTTTTAAATAAATTATTTTAAATCATTTAGCACCTCCTGCACCTCTGTGCAGCCTATACTGCAGGATGAACTTCCTGCTGCAGCTGATCAGCTGTTCTCCGTGCAGAGCTGAGAAGTGGGCGTGGCCAAGAGCGCTTGCAGGTGGCAAAGAGCAGAGGAGGCAGGGAGCTGAAATCATGATATTCTGTGCTCTTTTAGAGCGTTTAGAAACATCGTTTAGAATATTGCAACAGTGTGGGAAGGGTTTAAAACGCCTTTATATATATATATATATATATATATATATATTAAAATAAACTACTGCTTAATACTTGTACTACTATTCCTACTTTGCGGTTTTTCACTTTTTTCGTTCAACCTTTATTTAAACAGTTATCGCGGGGCTTCAGGGTACGGATCCCGCGTGATAAACGAGGGACTACTGTACACAATTTTTCAGCTACAAAACCTTAACACAGAAAATGGGCAGTAAATGAGTGTTAAAGTAAGTATAATAATGATTTTTATTTTTTTGGCCCAAAATAGAACCGTACCAAATGACATTCAGGTTTGAGATGACTATAAAAATTGTCTGAATATTTAATAATAGTAATGATTATTATACCATAGCACACCGCAGCGTTATAGAGAAAATCTACCAATAATATTAGGGGTTTATATCAGAATACTATAAAAACTAGACTAAACTCATGTCCTTTACCCTGAATACTTGTTTTAATATTTTTTTTATAGGTCAGCTATTGTAGCAATAATGATGCAGCCCCATTAAAAAAAAAAAATTGTTCATTTAGTTCTTGAATTTGGTTTTCCTGTAATGATTCAAGGCCAGTTTTCTGTGACTCCTCACACATATTCTATTGGATCCCTTTAGGAATAAAAATGTTATTTTTTATGATGTTTAGAAAGAACACAATGTTATAAGGATATCCAGCTCAAGTCCTCTTTTTTTAGAACTCTAATGTTGAGGTTTATCAGAGAGCATTTTTCAGAGTCATAATGAGCAGATCAAAAATCAGCAGCAGATCAAGAGCTCAGTGGCAGTAACGTGCAGTAACCTCTTATTTTACAATGCAGGAGCCAGAATGCAAACTTTCAGAACCCTCGGTGTGAGAACACCCCCCTGATTGGCAGGGAGTCCCCTCCACCCTCTGTAAGTGCACACTTTTTAGATCACACTCTCCCTCCTGCAGTCTTCCAATGCCCACAGCACAGCTGGAAACATTTAAAAACCACAGAGATGATGCTTTCCTTACTTGACCTGTAATGATGGTGCGAGATATTTACATTTGATCTCTGATGTCGCATGACATGCTGTGTGTGGACATCGGAAGGTAGTCGTCTTTTCCCTACACCACTGCAAGTGTCATTTGTGCTCAAACGAGACCGTGACCATGGATCGCCTTCACAGAGGTCATTTTGGCAGCCTGGGATATGTGAATCTTGAAAAGAATCCTGTTGTTGGTATCATTTGCACTTGCACCAAAAGAGGGAGGTTACCATTTGGATATGTTCATAATGTGTCACGAGAAGCACAAAGTTAGTCTCTGTTTCTGATGTAGAGTGGCTGCTTGGTTTCAATATGGCTGTCAGTGCTATGTGATGAGAAAGACTTTGTTAAATCTAAATACTGACCGTTGAGTTTCTGACTCCATACTGCTGGGCCTGTAGTTAAAGTTATCCATCAGTAAACATCAGCTGTACAAATTGTGCATCACTATCATTATGACTTCTCATCTTTTTCAATAAGTTCTTTGCTCTGTGCCGCCAGACACTTGAACTCAATGATTTTTGAGAACTCTTCTCCTTAAACAAACCCAAGCCCAAACCTCTAAAGGTCCTGCCTCCCCTCCCTCCTGTCTCCACACTGTGTCTATGTGTGCATCTTCTGGTCGAGGTGTATGTGTCTTGCTGTTTCTGTGCCTCGTCACCTTCCACCACTAAACAGCCACTGTTACATTTGTTTCCTGCCTCCACTGTTGATCTTTAGCCGCTGGGGAAAAAAAAGGCTTAGTTCCTCATTTTCAGACTGTTGACTGGGCCTTCGGTGCACAGCTGACCCTCTGTCTTCTTCAGTGATGTGGAAACCACAAACCTTCTACTGTAACTACTGAGGTGCTCAACACGAGACCACTAACTCATACCAGGCTAACCTACTACATCAGAAAATAGAGCACTAACTAAAACAATTTAACAACATCATGTAGATCTAATTTGACCTAATCAATAATCAATGACTGTTAGAATCAAACCCTGGCTGTCCAAATGACTGGTCACATGATCTATCTATCTATCTATCTATCTATCTATCTATCTATCTATCTATC